GAAGGACGAGGAGGAGGAGCAGGAGGAGGAGGAGGAGGAGGAGCAGGAGGAGGAGGAGGAGGAGGAGGAAGGGCGGGCGAGGCGGGGTCCTGCAGGTGCGTCTTGATGAAGGCGTCGGAGAGTATCCTGGCCAGGCTCGAGCAGGGAATCGACTACAGAACGGACTTACCCCAGGATTGAGCAGAGACTTCTGGTCGGGCTCGAGCAGGGGATCGAGCAGGGGATCAACTGCACGATGGACTTCCGTGGAATGGGTGGGAACTGAGTCGAATGCTTCGCTGATCTACTGAGCAGCGTGTTGAATAAAAAATGATAGTAACACTGTTAATGATAACGATATGAATCACAATCATAAGAATGATACCGAGTCATACTGATACTAATCTCGATGGACACATCATTTCTGGGGCAGGTCAATTCTGTAGTCGATCCCCTGTTCGACAGGTGGCGACATCCGAGCGCCCTACCCCAACCAGCCATTGGTTCTCCTGAGCCATTGCTGGTCGGATTCGGATCGCGTCGCGTGGTCGACGGATTCCGAACCCTAGCTGCCCCGTCCCCCATCAAGATGCAAGAATCGTTGATCGAGGTCGGGTTCGGAGTTCGCCGCCGAGCGGCACCGGCGGCAGCCCCGTCCCGAGGGCGAGCGCGCAGTGGCCGAGAGAGGCGCGCGGAGAGGCCCCGGCCTTGCCCCTTCTGCACAGCGGGCAAATTCGCCCGGCGTCTGGCTCTGCAAGACAACCACAGATCGATCCGGCGCGGGAAAGAACCGCAGAAAGTGCCTGGGGCTCTCCGCTTGTGACTTCTGCGAGATGCTGCATTCTTGCTCGCAGCGTCGGATCCCAGGGGAGGCGCAGACAGATACAGCAGAAGGGCAGGGACCTGGATCCCCGACGACCCGATTCTTCCAATCCCGGCGCTTCTCCCAAGTTTTGGCCTCGGGGGGCACCAGGAATATCAGAAAAAACTCGCTCTTGGGCGAAAAACTCACCCCAGGGAAGGCACCTGGACCAGTCTGGGATCTCGGATTCAAACAAAGTCTCAGTTCGGAGGACGGCCGAATTGTCGTTGGAGCCCTCGCCCCCCCCTTCGACCTCCTCGTCTCGCTCGCGGCGACCCCCCGCAGTGGCCCCCGCCGGGCGCGCGCCCTCCACTTCTGGAAGCCACGCTGGCATCGCCAACGCGGACCACAACTAAGCGCGAATTCTCCCGTTGGCGGCACTGGGATGCGCGAGACGAGGCGGCGCCCAAGCTCTTCGACAGTCGAAGTGGCGGGCCACGGAACATCCAGGACTTTGTCGATCGGGAGGTCTGGTGACAACCAGTGGGACGATGGCCGGGGGAACCGCGCGAGACATGGGATGGGGGGGCGGCGGAGTGGGGGCAGGCCAGGGTGCCACGCGGCGACGCCAATCTTCAGCTGGCGGGGCGCGCGAGGAGGGGTGCCCCCCGAAAGGCGTTTTCAGGGCGCGCGTCTGACAAAGCAGAATGGCCCCTGGAGGCCCTCCCGGCTCTCCAAAAGACATGGTTGGGAGCCCCTTTTTCTGGCCCCTCGGATATTGCTTATGATAAATACGTGTGTATATATATATACATACATACATACAAATACACACGACCTTTAGATATATATATATATATATATGTACAAACATATATCCAGCTATCATCCATGAATACACACCCATACTGTGAAAGAAACACCCCAAGCAAACAAAAAAAACAAATCAAACGCCTTCCTAAAAGGTGAACGCCCGCCCCGCTCGCGCCACCCCCGTGTGCGTGCCGCTGGATCTATGGAACGCCACATGACTCACGAAACCCCTCGTTGGACCCAAGGGCACCTGTGTCCACGAACGACCCAATGAGCGACGAGCCCATCCCTGTCCCGAGGATTTCCGCAGCCCGGCGTCTTGAATGCAAATTCGAAAATACACGCGCACACGCAATACATATATACATGTATATGTATGTATGTGTATATATATATAGCATCTCATATAATCATGCTTATGTTAATTCGGCAGCTGGGAAAACTGCTGTTGCACGATGTTTGAACTTGCTCGCCCATGGAAATGACTCAATGTTAGATTCAGATGTGCTCGTTGACGACTCGCTGTCACACTCCAGAAGCGCGCTCCCTTCCTACGGGTAAGAAAACCTGCCCACCGACGGACGTTCTTGCTGTCGCCCCCTGTCAAGGCTACACCGAAAATCCGAAATTCTCGACCGAACTTTGGCCTCCTCTATTCGGTGGTCTCGTTTATCGGAATACTTCAGAGGCGCTTCGCTCCCAAGCTGCTCCTGCTAAAAGCGCTGGCGAGCCTCCTCAAGCACCGTTGAGCGTGTTCACGCACGCTCTCAGAACCTCCTACAGGTACCCCGCGGGCGACTGGCCGATCGTGTTCTTCGCCGCCCCGAACAGACCCAAGATCTGGCGAATCAAACCGCGCAGCTCGGTCGTCGCGAGGACCTTCGCGATCTTCGCGCGACCCTCGTCGCGGCGCTGGCCGAGACGACAGACGTGGCGCATCTGCGCCAGGTCCCGTGGCTCGCGCTCGGTGGACTGCGGCATCAGGACCTCCAGATTATCGCGGTTCTGGGCCCTGACATCCTCCGCCATCAATTGCTCGACCGGGCGCGCGCATGCTTTGCGCGCAGGCGTGGCCAGGCCGTGACCCTTGCCTTTCCCTTCGCTGCAGCTGCGCGCGCGGCTCTCGCACCCTGCGTTGCCCCGGCGGCCCTGGCCTTGGCCTCCGCGAGGCGCGCTTCTTACATCTGGCCGCAGATCTCGCGCACCTGCTCGGCATTGGTGATGAACTGTCTGAGCGTGGCCGGCGGCGTTGCCGTTGCGCCCGCGTCCGCCACGGTCGCGGCCTTCGGCTGCTGCTTGTTGCGCCTCCGCGCGCGCCGCCCCTGAGGCCGGGTGGTCCTGCGACCTCTTTCTGTCGATGGGGCCCCCGCCTCCCCCCTCGGCCACCTCGTCTCGCTCGCGGCGCTACCCCGCCGTGGCCCCCGCGCTGCAACGCGCGCGCCCCCCGCTTCTGGAAACCGCGCGGGCGTCGCCTTCGCGGGCCGCTCCTAGACGCGAGCACTCCCGCTGGCGGCACTGGGGCACGCGAGGATACGCGGCGGCCAACCTCTTCAAACTCGACCTGGCGGTCCACGAAGCGTCCGGGACTTCGTCGACCGGGAAGTTTGATAATATCACATGGGAATCCCGCCTGGGTCGCACTCGGGGATCTTCTAACCCGGGTCAATCCAGACCCGGGTCAGCAGGAAACAAAAAAACTGCAATGCAGGAAAAAAACTGCACCGCAGGTCCTCGCAGACCCGGGTCAGCCAATACGCGCGGCCGCCTCGCGGCCACGAGCGGCTCCCTAACCCGGGTCAGCCAGAGGGGGTCTTCGCAAGATCCTGCAGGATCTGGCGCCCTGGCTGACCCCCGTTTGCATTGACCCCCGTCTCGAGGCTCCCGACGCACAACGTCGCGAGTGGTTCCGGAACTCCTTGATATGCATAGATGTTTCGGGCGCCGTCCTGCACGCCGCAGAGCATTGCAGACAATGACGAGCACGTGTAAGGATGTAAAAATTATTGCTCTGACCGCGCTCGCCCCCCCCCCCCCCCATCTTAAAACCGCGCGAGTGGTCGCCCATGCCCTCGCCGCGACGCGGAGCAGGAGGCGGCGACAACGATGGTGATGCCTTCGGCGGCGCAACGGGCGCTGGACAACTCGAGCGACCTACCGTCGTCGATATTTCCCAGAAGCCTAGGCGACGTTGCCCTGCAAGAACCGCAACCACCTTTCGACCCCCCCCCCCCCAATGATCGTTGACTGCGCTCAAACTTGGACCGACCAAAGAGAGTCAACCAGGGCAAGCTCGAATGCTGCAGAAAACCCGACAGTGCTCAGCTGTATCGCAGCCCGAGATGCGGCCCCATGCGTCGCCATAAGCTCGCGGGACGCGGCCCCGTCGAGACGCGCCCCCCCCCCCCCCCACACCTCTGCTTTAATGGGATATCCGCTTCGGGGCCACTCGCGCTAACGTTATAAGCCACACGCAAGAAAAATCATTGCGAAAAGTCTGGCGGGATCTCGGGATGCTGCAGCGCCCCCGGATACGCGCGCCATCCACTCGACATGTTCTGCAATCGTTTTCCAGTCTCTGCTATATTCGCGCGTGGAGAGTGGCTCAGCCGCCTGGATGCGGAAGGGGTAGCTGTTCGCGCGCGCCGCGTGTCTTGAGAAACGATGGTTTCTCTGTTGTGCGGTTCTGCCTCAATCCACCTCGCTGCAGCCAGATGCCGTTGGCGACGGCGATGCGCTCCGGAGTCGTGCCCGGCGAATGCATCGTCGCGCGAAATGGGTCATCCATGATCTCCATCTGGCTCGCGCATACGTCGCCTGGCGCGGGGGAACCGGATGCGCCCGCGGGGCAAGTGTCGTCGCAATGCGCGAGCTCCTCCCGCGTTCCACCTGTTCATTGTAATATCTTGCGAAACGCTCGGGCTCGCCGCTGCGCCCCGCGGGCCCGCCGCCCCCCGCGCGAATGCGCGGGTTCTCGTCGAGGGCGCGGAGGCGGGCCCGAAGCGCGCCGCGACGCCATCAGAACAGGGCCGGTGATGGAACGGGGCAAACTCCTTGATCTGCGGGGGCGTCGCGCGCGTCCGCCGCCGGCGAAGGCGTCGGTGAAGTCGCGGCTTCTTCCCGCGCAGCTCTGCCTCTCAGACGCGGCCATCCAACCACGCCCCCCAGGGGCCGCGGCGGTGGGCGGTTGGCGCCGCCGCCGCGCGCCAGCAGCGCCACGCGCCAGCAGCGCTCGAAAGAAGCACAGCTAACAACTGCACATAGCGCGGATAATGCGCATTCGCGACGCAGCCGCTCCTGCATTGGACCTCTTGAACTCCGCGGCAAAAAGACATTCGGGGGGATGGAAGAACGTCTTCGATTTTGATAACACGGCCGCGAACTCGAAGTTCGCCGATCGCACCTCCGCTGATGCAAACCCTGGAACTCGGGAGTGCGCCATCAGGATAAACCTTCGGATTGCTCATCCTCGAACTGAATGCCCTGAGGCGCGCGAGCGTCTCCGATGCCATCGCGGTGGCGAGCCGGCATGCGCGTGCATTGGTGGGAGGCGATCGCGATGAACAAAATTGTGGACATACTCGATCAAGGTGCAGATCGCCGCCCCTTCGGCTTGCGTAGTAAGTGGTCTGCGCGTTGCACATGTTCCCGAGCCTGAGCCTAATCGAATAACTCTTGAGATTCGCCCAAGGCGCCTGGGGTCTGTCCACAAACGGAAACTGCTGCTGCAGGCGCTGACCTCGAAGGACTTCAGGATACTGCAAATCGTGGAGCGGGGCAGTGCGCGTCGCCGGGAACCCGAGATCTGGGCCATCCTTCCACAAGGAAGCGCACCATTCTTGAGCCGTGGCCGATCCTGTCAGTCGAGAGCTGTGCACTCTCTTCTTTACACCCACTTTTGCCCTTCTCAACGCGCGCGCCATTCTGCGTGCCACTGCGTGGTCGCCGCAGATGTTCAAGAAGTGACTTCAGCCGAAGCTGTTTTACGATTGTAAAAAGCCATCGCCGTCGCACTAGGACGAATTGAGTACTCCATCGACGAAGACGATGGAGGATAGTACTATCAGGGCGAACGGCCTGGGCCTGTCAAAGCCAGGAACATACCCGTAGAAGGCGGCTTCGCTCGGTGATCAGCTCCTTTGTCTCTGGCGTCGTCGCATACTGGCGCGCGGATAATGAACAGCAGCTTCACAGACACCCTGGATTCGCTGCAGGAGCCATGCGTAATGCATGTCGAGTGTGATTGCGCGCTCTGCTACGCTGGTCATTTGCATGCGCGACGAACTCCGGGCCAAACGACGTCAAATATTTTGCTCTATCTTCACCGCGCTGAATGAAGGCAACCACACCGTCTAGGTCCCACCACGTGTGAACTCACTGCAGCGGTGCCGTCGGGACCTCGACGTCGTGGCTGGTGCTGACAGGCGCCTACTAGTGGAAATGACCCGCTACTTGCAGGTTCAGCGCCGCCTTCCGCCAGCACGCGCATGCAGTGACACCAGGAGGAAAATCACGGGTACCCATGATGAAAACGAACCTGCTCTTCGGACCGTTGGGGCCTTGGTGCGTATGTTCAGCTCAGAAGTGGCGCGTGTGTGTGTGTGTACTGTTTGTGCTGAAGGCGGGACAAGTGGTGCGAAGTCATCGTGCATCCTATTTCCAAACCGGCCTTCGGGATCTTGAGAGACCAGGCCAACTGCATCATCAGGCCGTACGGGTTGCCTAAATTGCGCGGCGTGATTCACACGGACGTGTTCGCCAGCTCGTACCCTACCACGCGGTTAGATTTACCGTCGTACTCTGCCGGGCTGGCTTGGTTGCAGGAGTCGGGATCGGCGGGGAATTTGTCAAAATGAACGTGCACTGCATTCAATAGGAATACGTCAGTGGAAATCCTCTGCCCAAGAGACCTGCTGGGGGGTGTTCAATTCGAGCCGAGTACTGTGAGACGCTCGAAACTCAGATAACAGCGTCACTCCACAACTCTTGTTCGTTCGTATAAGGCGTCGCGTCCCATCCCCACTTTATGGCATGAGTGTCGTGTGAACGACTTCGTAGTACGAAGCCCTGCCCATTGTCGTCGTATCGAAGCGCCCACGAGGCTTAACACGTTGCCAATCCTCAGGTTCGCCGAGATCTCGGCAAGGCGGTCTGGCTTCGCGCAGGCTGGTCTGTACTGCAAGAGCGTCAGCGCCGCCCTCCGCGAGTCCACCATGGCCGGAGGGGCTGTGGAATCCAAGGGCGCATCCTTCGATGACCGTACTCCAAGGCTCTGCGGGCCAGTCGGGTGACACTAAATGATCGAGGGACATCCGTTGACAGGCCAATTTCTCACTCGGTGTGCATGCCCTACCCTCTCTGACATGCTCGTCCTGGGGAGCTTCCTGAAGCCACTCGTTCCACTCACCCGCAAATGCTGCGTCGAGCTTCCATCGACTTGAGCCGAACCTGGGTCGAGCTTGAGAAGAAACTGAGTCGAGCTATGGCCGAAGCTGGGTCGAGCAGATCCCTCAGGAGGGCTCCAGAAAACTCCCCCAACACAAGGATATAACCTGGGAGTGGCTCGAAGTATACACCAAGTCGTAAGGCGCTCGATGTACAGACACCCCAACTTCACCACCTGTGGGGTGCTGGAGCGTATGTGCACTGAATTCCGTCGCCGAATTCGCTGGCTCCTTGGCCACCCGGAACACATTACGCATACAAAAATCAAGAATAGGACCCGACCGGCTGTCGGGGGAAACCATCAAGCTGGGATCGGCGATGCGTCGCTAGTGGTCCTAGAGAGGAACCGGATAGTGGTCGATGCATCGCTAGTGCTCGATAGATCGGCAGTGAACTCTCGATAGTGGAGCCGCACGGTCCTGGGCTGGGTGGGCTACCTCGGGCTCCTATCGACGACCCATGGGCGAATGGGGATCGAGGCTGTCCCCCCTGAGCCTATCCCTCCCTAACGCTTCCCCTGACTTTTAGTCGGGCATGTCACGTCCTCCTGCAGGGAGGTCTTGAAAGGACGATCAAACATAACAAATACTTTAAAGCTTTCAAAAGTACCAGAACAAAAAAAAAAACGATGTTTGAATATTCCTCCTGTAGAGGGGCAGGCCCGACTAAACCAGCGTGAGGAGCCGGGGGGGCTCCTCCTGGTGGGGTGGGCCTCCCTCTCCGCTCGGCGCCAAGCCCCCCTCACCAGCTCGGGCAGGCACCGCGGACATCCTCGCTGGGGGTGGCATTCCTGGTGGTGTTGGCGTCGCTCCTCTGTTCGGGGGCGGCCGAGAGGGGGGCGTCCAGGGGGGGGGGCGCAAATCATGGCCGGCGGCATGTGCGCGACCCAGCGGGGGGGGGTCCAGGAACGTAATGGAATAAGAAGAGGCGCCATGAAATCTGAGGACATATCATGGCCCCCGCCGTGATATCCACCCCCCTAGTCATCCCCCCCTCTTTGCCGCCCCCGATTTTTGCTCCGACCCAGTGCCCGTGCGCGCGCGGCCAGGGCTGATGGGCGACGACGGGAGGGACCAGCTCCGGTGGGGAAACATCGACCTGGAATCGGCGCTACATCGCCGATCCCTGAGATCCTGGCGTTGCATTTTTTTCGCAACGGGCGTTTTCGCTCAATTCCGGGCCCCGGGACCATCACAAGTCGATCTGGCTCGAAAGGTGACGCAGAAAGATGCGGTCTGGGGCTCCGGGCGCGATTCTTCTTGCGATGTTGCAATTTTGTTTGCAACGTCGGATCTCAGGGATAGCCACCCGATCGACCTGTCGGTTCCCCATCGGTGATGGAAATTAGCGATTGAGGGTCTACGCATTCCCCCCCGAGCCTACACATCCCCAGGAGTGCCCAGAAGCGAATTGATGAGTCGGATCGGAGATCGAAAGGAATCAGATCGGCGGCAATCGGTAGCCGAATCGGGAGCGGTCGAAGCGGCGGAAGTCGGCAGCCTGGTAGTCCTGCATAGCGAAATCTGAATCCCAATCGGAATCCGACGTCGAATCGAGTCGAAATCAGAATCCATCGAAATCGACGCGGGTCGAATCGGAGGAATCCGAATGAATCCCGTCTCCACCTCTGACGTTGCCCCTGACTCTCCCAGTGCGCGCGCGCGGCCAGTGCTCTTGCGGGGAGGCGAGGCCCCCGGGCGTCCCGAGTCTTCCGAGGCACTGGCACCCGACCTCTCGACCGCTTTCCCTCATCTCGAGCCGCACTTCGGCAGCCCCGAGGCGCCCCGGGAGGACGAAACAAACTGAAAAACCTCCGTCTCCCCAGAGATCCGACGCTGCAGGACAACTGCAACACCGCAAGAAATTACGGCCAGACCCCTGGGGACCCATCTCTCTGCGTCATGCTTGGAGACCGATCGCTCTGTGAGTGTCCCAGGGCCCGACCCTGAACGAAAAAACGCTCGGCTCGACAAAAAGGAGTCGCCAGGATCTCAGGGTCGGCTGCTCGAGTTATGACGTTCCAACCTACCTGACCGCCAGAAAGACTTCCGAGCACCACGAAAGTGCCGAAACTGGGGGATGTTCACGTGTCGGGCCCTGGGAGGCGATACTCGTCCGACACTGTTTCGATACTTTCCTGGGTGCTCGAAATTACTTCTGGGATGTGGTCCTGAAGTACGGTGGAAACAACAGATGGGTGTTGCCCCCACAGGGGGAAGCTGATCCTAGATTTCGGTGTTGGTGGCAATATTTTCGTCACCTTGGAAGCCAGAATACTACCACCATCACCGAGATCGGGATCTTCTTCCCTCGGTGGAGGCACACCGCCGATATTGGTGTTGGTGTCAACCCTTAGGCCTGCGTGAATGCTCGAGACGCCGGATGCCTGGGCCCCTGCGGGCCGTCGGGGTCTTCATGGCCCGCCGCCGCGGCGTCGGCCGCGGAAGGCGCGGCCCACTGCGGGGCCGCGGCAGCGCCCCGCAGTACCGCCGCCGACGCAGCCGACGCCGCTGCCGACGGCGACGACGGCGATCACCACGGCGACGTCGACGACGACGACGAGGAGAAGACGTCGACGACATCGACGCCAGCGCCAGCAGCGACCTCCGACGACGACACAACCACAACGATGACGACGACGTCGCCCCTCCGGTACGACGGATTCGTGAGGAGCTGGTCGATGGTCTGGATGTCGTTATTCCTGGCAGCGCGGCGGGGGCGCCACCCAGACAACCCGCGGGAGACCTCGTCGTCTGCGGTGGTAACACATGGGAGCCTTCCACACCGTCTTGTAGGCTCTTGCGAATCGACGCTTAATCGACGCTAAATTGACACTAATCGACGCTAAGCCGGCGCTGAATTGGCGTTATCTCATCGACTCCCAGATGCTAATTCATCGATGCTCTTCGACGCTAGAGACTGAATGAAGGGGGTACACGAGATCCCCATGATTTGCTACCGAAGTCGTCGTCCGGATGCGACACGGGAGAAGAGAGGGGAGGGTCGCGGGATCGGCGGCTGCCAAACGTACTCCTGGCCCGAAGGGCCCCCTAAGCTTGTCGCGCCAAGGCGGAGACCGCGAGAGGCCTCTCGGGAGGAGCGCTCTGGGCCTCGTGAGAGGGCCTCTGGGGCTCGTGTTGGGGGTTCTCTGGAAGACCCCTCGGCATCCTTGGGGATCCTGGGGGGCACCTTCGAAGTGCCCCCAGGCTTCCCCCCCCCCTTCACCTCCCCCCTCCACCTCCCCCAAGTGGGGGGAGGTCAGGGGGGGGGATGCAGACGGGGACGAGCAGGAGGAGGAGGAGGAGGTGGAGGAGGAGGACCAGTGCAAACCCAAGAGCCATCAACGATGTTGGAGTAAACCCTCCCTCCAAGCTCCTTCTTCATAGGCCCCCACCACGGTTCATTTCCATTGATGGAACTGTCTCGTTGGAAGACAACTGTTTGGAGACCCTGAAGCATGCCAAGAAATTGTTCTCGACATTCCAACGCCACGAATCAACCTGACTGTTGCGTCTTGGCGATATTGAATCCATTCCTAGGACTTCAACGCAGCGAATCAACATAGCTGTTGCGCCCGCATAATCACGAATCCTTCCCAAACACCATTTCTGGTACGATGATGTTGGGAATCCGTGAAACTCATGTACACTTGTAGAGCATATGATCGCCGCGCTAAAGCGAGAGCCAAATTGTGAAAAATAACCGCTCTCAATTAATGAAACTCTGGCAAATGTTTCAAACGAATGTGCGCCGCGCTACGGCGAATCACATTTTGAAAACGATTCGCCCTCAATCCGTGCAACTCTTGCAAACGTTTCAAACGAATGTGCGCCGCGCTAAGGCGAGAACCACATGTTGAAAACCACCCGCCTTCCGTATGTGAAATTGCTGTCAATTTCTGAGCTTCAGGGTCATAAACAGTCAGGAAGTCTCAGGCGAACCGCCCGGCCAGCCCTAAAACCAGGCCTCGGGGTGCGACATGGAGAATCTCTCTCTCTCTCTCTCTCTCTCTCTCTCTCTCTCTTTAAAACTATAAATATAGATATGGAATAATGATAGAGGAGGAGGAGGAAGAGGAGGAGCAGGAGGAGGAGGAGGAGGAGGAGGAAGAAGAGAACGAATGGCGGACGAACACAACGGCGGGGCGCGATGGGGCCGAGGAGCAACAAAAAAAAAGCCGCGTCCCGCCACGCACACGGAGAGCGCCTCCCCCCGAGGCTCGCGAGGACGCCCATCACGCCACGAAGGATCGCACCGCGTGCGCCTCGTCGGGGTCCGCGCGAAGGGTCGCGTGGCCGCGTGCGCACAGGGCGTCCTCGTGTCGCTCCAGAGGGGCGGGGAGCACGAGGCGAGGGGGGGGGGGGGGCGGGGCACGGGGAATGCGACGGGGGGCACGGCACGGCGGCGGCGAGGGGGGCAGGGATGGCGGACCGCCCAGGCCTCTCAGGACAAGCGCGCTTCTCCGCTACCGGAGGAAGAAAGACCTGCGTCAGCAGAACCTCCTCGCATTCCGCGCGACCTTTTTGAGATTTGCGCTGGATCCCCGCCCTGGCGCGCGGACCGCGCCACGGGCGGCGCCAGAGGCGGGGATCCAAGAGGTCTCCGCGGATCCAAGAGGTCTGCGCGGAGCGCCAAAAGTTTCTGTTCACTCGAAGGGCCCAGGGGCACACAAATAAATGGGTGTACGTCCCAAGACTCCCACACTTCCAAATCAAATCTGTGTTTGCGCCATCCCACCCCCCCTTCCCGTATTTTCCTGCACTTTCCTGGGAGTCGACGATTTTTTAATTGTGTCTGTGTTTCTCTCCTTCGTGATTGATGCCGCTTTCTCATCTTTGAGCTACAGTGGGAGCCTCTAGCCGGACCTGCCGGTGCCCAGAGGAAAGCCATCTGGGGACGAGAAGCCCACGGCCACCCTTTCCGTCGGCGGCGATGCAGAGGCACTCCGCGCCAGCGTGGGGCGAATCGGGGCCCCCGATCGGCATTTGTCCGGCGGCAAGAGAGAAAAGCAACGACGAAGGCGGCCGCGCGAGGGGAGGAGGGGGAGAAGGAGGAGGAGGCAGAGGAGGAGGGGGAGGAGGAGGACAACGACGACGAGGAGGGTGAGGAGGAGGAGGAGGAGGAGGAGGAAGAGGAAAGGAGAGGAGGAGGAGGAAGGAAGAGAAGGAGGGAGGAGGAGGAGGAGGAGGAGGAGGAAAATGAGAAGGAGGAGGAGGATGAGAAGGAAGAGGACGAGGAAGAGGAGGACAAGGAGGAGGAGGAAGAGGAGGAGGAGGAGAAGGGGGAGGAGGGAGGAGGGGGAGGGCGCTCAGACGTGGAGGAGCTCACCCCACGGCAACGCGTTAACTTCTCACGCAGCAGCAGCAACAACAGCAGCAGGAGAGAGCCGAAGGGCAGGACTCGCGGGGCCTGCGGCACGCACGCGGGGGTGACGCGGAGGCGGGGGGGGCCGTGTTCTACAGAAGGAACTCGACCACAAGAAACCCTATTATTTTTCCTCGCATGTTTCGTGGGGTTCTGGCTTTCACCCCTGCCGCGTCGCACCCGCGACCCTCACCTCACCTCCTCCTCTTGTTCGTTCTCACACAGCGCAGCACAGCTCAGCACAGCACAGCTTAGCTCAGCACGGCACAACTGAGCACAGAACAGCACCTCAGCACAGCACAACACAGCACAGCTCAAGCACAGCACGACGGTCGTCCAGGGCGGTGCGCAAGGGGTGGTCCCTGAAGGCGGCACCTATGCGTGCCAGGGTCAAACAAAACGTAGCAGGGGTGGCACCTTCTCGACACCAGAAGGGGGGGGCACAGGGGGGCGCTATGCGTGCCAGGGTCGGAAAAACGTGGCAGGGGGGGGCACTGCGTCGCCACCAAAAGGGGGCACAGAGGGTGGTCCTTCAGCGCGGCCTCTATGCGTGCCAAGATCGGAAAGCGCGGCAAGGGTGGCACTTTCCCGACACCAGAGAGGGTGCGCAAGGGGTGGTCCCTCAGCGAGGCCTCTAGCGTGCCAGGGTCGGAAACGTCGCAGGGGTGGCACTTTCTCGACACCAGACAAGCTGCGCAGGGGGTGATCCCTCAGAGCGGCCTCTAGGCGTGCCAGGGTCGGAAAGCGTGGCAGGGGTGGCACTTTCTCGACACCAGAGAACGTGCGCAGGGGGTGGTCCCTCAGCGCGGCCTCTATGCGTGCCAGGGTCGGAAAGCGCGGCACGGGTAACACTTTCCCCACACCAGAAAAAGGATGCGCAGGGGGTGATCCCTCAGAGCGGCCTCTATGCGTGCCAGGGTCGGAAAGCGTGGCAGGGGTGGCACTTTCTCGACACAAGAGAGTGTGCGCAAGAGGTGGTCCCCCAGCGCGGCCTCTATGCGTGCCAAGGTCGGAAAACGTGGCATGGGTAGCACTCTCTCGACACCAGCGAGGGTGCGCAGAGGGTTGCCCCTCAGCGCGGCCTCTATGCGTGCCAGGGTCGGAAAGCGTGGCAGGGGTGGCACTTTCTCGACACCAGAGACGGTGCGCAGGGGGTGGTCCCTCAGCGCAGCCTCTCTGCGTGCCAGGATCGGAAAGCGTGGCATAGGTGGCACTTTCTCGACACCAGAGAGGGTGCGCAGTGGATTGTCCCTCAGGGTGCCCTCTATGAGTGCCAGGGTTGGAAAGCGTGGCAGGGGTGGTACTTCCCCGACACCAGAGAGGGTGCGCACGTGGTGGTCCGTCAGCGCGGCCTCTATGCGCGCTAGGGTCGGAGAGCGTGGCAGGGGTGGCACTTTCTCGACACCAAAGAAGGTGCGCCAAGGATGTTCCGTCAGCGCGGCCTCTAGGCGTGCAAGGGTCGGAAAAACGTGGCAGGGGAGGGCACTTACTCGACACCAGAGAGGGTGCGCAAAGGGTGGTCCCTCAGCGCGGCCTCCATGCGCGCCAGGGTCGGAAGGCGTGGCAGGGGTGGTACGTTCTCGACACCAGAGAAGGTGCGCAGAAGGGTGGTCCTTCAGCGCGGCCTCTATGCGTGCCTGCGTCGGAAAGCGCGGCAGGGGTGGCACTTCTCGACACCAGAGGGTGTGCGCAGGGGGTGGTCCCTCAGCGCGGCCTCTATGCGTGCCAGGGTCGGAAAGCGTGGCAGCGGTGGTAGTTCCTCGACACCCGCGGGGGGGCGCAGGAGCGAAACAACGGCCGCGATCAACGTGCTCGCAAGGTCCGCTCAGCTATCACCACGCAAGAAACATGATAAGAATGTGGGGTTCCTCGGTAGCGTAATTTTGTTGTCGCGTCGGCGGCTGGGCAGAGCAACTGCGCTGGCGGAGGAGCTATCACAACGGGGACACCGTAGAAACGAATTGTGTCACCATGTGGGAAAATGGGAGGAGACATGGAAGGCGGCCGAAGGAGGAGCGAGGGAGCGAAAGCCGCTCACGGGGAAGAGTCGCACCCAAGGCGAGTGGCGCGGCCGGCCCCGCCGGCGGGGAAGAAACCCTCCACAAGGAACATCCCTGACATTTTTTGACGAGCTCCAGGTTAAGCGGGGCCCGCGGTTGTTGGACTGTCAACGGGGCCCCTTTTCTAAGTATGCCGTAGAGTTCGCGCGAGCAGCGCCAGCCCATCCACTGATTGCAGGGGGACACCTCGACTAAGAAGTGAAAATGCACCACCTCGACCCTGAGACTCCAGGGCGTCCATTGATTCTTGGTGCGGGAACGTCACGCTTTCCATCGC